ATCTCATTGAAGTGGATGATGAAGAGTTTTTGAACTATTGTAAAACTTTGAATACATTATGTTTGATTTTGTGAAATATATTCATTGCTAGAATATATTGAACTATTGTAAGAGTACTTTTTTAACTATTATGTACACATATTTAGAATATTGCTTTATAAGTATGTGTATGTACAGAAGACATGATATTATCTTTTGAAATTTATTGCAAATCTATATATTTGAATTACTTATTAGCCAATTTAATGCTTGAGATTATTTATTGCAAAATAATATTGGTGTTTTTTAATTAGAAATTGTGGCATATAAATATTTTATAGCCAAAATGATATTGTTACACTTAAAAGTGTAGCCATAGGACTGTAAATTGTGGTATGCACATGGGCAAGGACTACACTTCAAAGTGTTGTCATACATCGGATAGAAAAGGCAACACTTTAAAATTGTTGTCATACATTAGATAGAAAAGGCAACACTTAAAAATTGTGGGCAATAAGGAAGCTTAGGCCACGCTTAAAAGTGTAGTTGTATGAGATAGAAATGTTGCTATTTGAGGTACATAAAAGCGTTGCCATTTTTCCTTTTAGGCTATGCTTTTAAGTGTAGCTGATAAGGCAACACTTGAAAAGTGTTGCCTAAACTCTAAGGTAACGCTACTTTTGGGCACCCCTAGAAAAGTGTTGCTTAAAGTCCAAAAGTGTAGCCTTTTATCAAAGGCCACACTCTTTGCTAGTTTAGGCTACACTTTACTGGGGTGGCTGTAGGCCTAAAATGGTGTAGTGCGTGTTCCTTAGCAATGTACCTATGTTTTCTAGTTGATTCCAACACTATAAGGTACATCTAAACATCATGAAATCATCTATAAACATGAGATCATGAACCTTGAATCGATAATTTAATTCAAGGAAAGTTAAGAGTCAAGTCTAGAAATTAAGAAGCAAGTCAAAGTAAAGTTCTTAAAGTTTTCAAAAGTCTTTAACAATGTTTTAACTTTGATTTTAAGACTCAATTTTCAAGTTAAGCAAAGAGTAAAGAGTTAAGTTCATTTCTCAAAAAGCTATAAGGGAGCTAAGTATTCTCAAAGAGTTTATAAATGTTTTCACATTTGAGCAAGAAAAGGGAACATCGATTCCAAGAGAGTCTTTGAGCTAAGTTTTGAGTAATTATCTCAAACCAAAGAAAGAAGTTGTTTTTAAAACATATGAGTTAAGTATATTTTTGGGAGTAGTATTGAGCACCGATATGGGGATGTGAGTTCACATTAACTCAAGTCTCCATAAACCATGTAGCCATCATGGGTAGTAAAGGATCATACTTTTTAGATGACTCCTTAAGATACTTTTAGCATAGACTAGTAGATCCACTTAGTGAGTTAGGTTCTATACCCCTAGAAAGGTATAGGACGGTCCTTGTCTGTGTGAGGTAAAATGTTGTACCACCACTTAGGCTCATAGTGGTGGTTGTCGGTTAGAGAATCTCCCACATAAACTATATTACTTTATTATATAAGTAAAGTTGAGGTTGTTATTGCATTTCTTTAACGAAGTAAGTTGTTTTTCCACCGTTTTACAAGTATTACATATATTGCATGTGTTTTATTGCTTTATATTGAGTTAAGTTATTCATGAGTTGAGAAGAGACAAGGTAAGTGTTTCTTTCAGAATCTTTTCAAGCCTATGTTATGTTTAGCATTCCAACTCGCATACTCGTACACTCAATGTACTGATGCCAGTTTGCCTGCATCTTATTATGATGCAGATGCAGGTAATCAGGATCAGCATCCAGTGCCTTGTTGATATAGTTGAGCACTCTAGAGTCAGTTGGTGAGCCTCCTTGCACTCCGAAGGACTTCTTTTTATTGCTTTCAGTTTTATTATTAGTCCATTAGGATGTTGTAGAGTTTGTCCCAACATCCATCTCAGTTGTTTTAGAGGCTTCATAGACAGTCAGACAGATAGTATTAGTTCTTTAGTCTTATTCATTTCAGTTGTAACCGTTTAAGACTTGAGCTGCCATTTTGGCTAAGTTATTGCATGAGATTTATCGCTTATGTTTAAGTCTTCAGCTGAATAAGTAAGCCAGGCCAAGGGTTCGCTTGAGGACAACAATGGTTCGCGATTGCCGGCCACGTCTAGGGTATAGCTCGGGGCATGACAAAAGTGTTCTATATATTTATTATTTTTTATATTTGTTTTGTGTTGACTTTTTTCAAGTATGAATTTCCTATTATTTGTGTTCATTTTGATCTAAGAAAATGTTATGTCACAAGATACTATCCTTGCAAGGTATATAAAAATAGTTAAGAAAATTGTGGTTGATCACAAAATGATCTTAAATCAAATTAAAGATTCTATAAATATATAATTTTAATTTTGTTCATCAATTAATTGTTTTTATTGGAAAAGTGTAATGTTTTATATCATGACACAACTTCTATAAGATACTAGATACTCTCATTAGACAACAATTATATGAAATGTATGATGCATGAAAAAAGATAGGACTACAATTTCACAAAGATATGGTAGAAACTTAAAGAAATAAAAGATTTTTCACCATAGGTGATGTAGTTCATATATGAATATTAAATTATACTACTGAAATATATATATATATATATATATATATATATCTAAAATAAAAATTGGTCATCATAAATATTCGACATACACTTAATTCTCTATTTAACCATCATTCGTTATAATTACATTTCACTGTAACAACCTAATTTTTTTTAGAACTAATTTTTGATGTTATATTTTTTTTTCTATAACATTCTACTTAAAACAGTGTTGAAATTTTCTATAAAAGTACACTTTTGGTAAAATTACATCTCTATGATAGTGTTACTCAAATATTAATTAAGTAATAATATTTTAAAATGATATATTACGTATAAAGATAAAATATTGCACTATTTATGGTAATAGTTATTAGTGTCATGCAGATATCAAATTTTAAGTATTAATATTTAAGAGAAAAAAATTATACTTAAATGGTGTCCATCATTTATAGTCATAACCTCAAGAGGAAACACTATTGGTGACCTTCTTTATATATATATATATATATTGATATTATTTTTCTATTTTGCTGGTTAAGTTTGTTTAAAAAATTGAGTAAAGTAAAAAAAAAATAGTACTAAAGAAATGTCACTTTCTCACCATATTTAAATTTTAAATGTATTTTGAAATGTTTCAATGAAATCTGGTCATTTTGATCTCAAAAAATAATTAACTTTATGACAATCTGTATTAATCATTCAAAAGCACTTGACCACTATTCTTTCAATTTATAATTATTTACTAAAAAGTTTTAATTTAGTCATATTAATTCTATTTTACAACATCATAAACTATATAATATGATACACACATGCAACGCATGTGCCGTAAAACTAGTATATATATATATATATATATATATTTGTGAACCTCTAACAAAATAGATTGACGGTTCTAAAGGAAATTTACAACCCCCAAACTCTTAATACTGTCTCAAAGAATATATACATCTTAAAAAAATTGTATCTACCATGTCAAATACTCCATTTTCACGTTGTCACTTTTCAGCTAGCCATCCATGTAGCATCTCCTTGTATTTCCAGGTTAAGACGATCACTAATTGGTTCTTGTGCAGGATTTGTATTGACCGTTTGTGGTTTATAAATGGTGTAACAGTTAGCTTCAGCTTTAGAAGGTTCAATTCGGAAGCTAACGTTATGGAAGAATGATCTTTTCTTCTTCTCAACAATCATGTTTTCAGATACTCTTAATATCATTTTTTGGAAGAGCCCATATTTTTAATAAATTAGATATTAGTAAAAGATTATTCCTTAGTTTAATGCAATTATTTATGACCGTGCGATGCACGGGCACATTACCTAGTTATTTATAAATAGGATTTTTAGTTAGATATATTCTTACCTCGGGACTTTTCTTGTAACAATAACAATAACGAAATCAGTGTAATTAATTCAAAAAGTGGAGTCTAGCTAGAATGGTGTGTATGATGTGTAGACAGTCTTACCCTTTTCTTACGAAGGTAGAGAGATTGTTGATTTTTACATCATCGCAGACCCCACAAACCGCTCGTTCCTTTCCCTTTCCAATCGCAGACCTCAACCCTCATGATCACAATGCTCTGCCCAACATTCTCCCCTACGCAACCACACAACAACCCTTGTGACCTTGACTCAAAACAATCCCATCACCTCTTCGCGATTACGACACCCAAGCTTGCAACCTCAAAGTTCACAAAAATCAGGTGCCTACCATTATCTGGTTAAGTGCATGAACCTATTGAGAAGAAAATCAAATATGCAAATTTCACCAAAATGCACTGCAAACTTGTTGGGATGCTTAAATACCAAGCTGAGGTATCTAGGCACATATTTGATTGTGATGATCTCTTAATCTTCAATTTTACTAGTTTGCAACTTAAGCTTCTGAATCTCTCCAGATGTCATTGGAACTTGTTCAAACTATCCACTCAAGTCATAAATCACCATTCGGATGTATACGGACTTTCAAACCTCGATTCTGAGCTCGTTTATCCCAAATGCTGACATTGATCAATTCTTAAAATCTTAACTTTCTAGTTTTTTATTTTCTTCTCTAATACACATCTAATTACCTCAAGTTACGTATTACCCATCCTTCCAAGTCCTGATATAGATTAAAGCCTACACCAATTGTCACTTAATTAAGGGTCAAGGATCCTAATATAAATCTACAAAACTGATTGTTACAAGAAGTGATTTCCATGATGACCTCCTAACTACATGATACTAACTTTTATCGTCATGTTGAGATGCCAAGACAATTTACTTTATTCATACTAAATTTTCGTTGTTAATCCAAAGGTTAAAGTTGTTCAAAAATGCTCCAAAAAAAGAAAAGGAGAATGTTCCATCTGGAAGAGGGAGTCGACATATAGAAAAGAAACAACTATAATAAGAACAACCTAAATTGGTGTTGGCATAGGTCATCCCGAGGTTCATGGACTCAACAAATTGTGGTGACGTTGGTGCTGGAGCTAGTAATGGTGAATTTGGTGATGTCATGGGATATGACGAGGGTCATGGATCCGGTGCAAATAGTGGTGGAAACGAAATGAGGGAGAGGCCTTGGTAGAATTTGAATATCCCAACATTTGTTTTTCATGTTTTGTTAGATTTTTAAGTAAAAGTATTTGTGCCCCCAATTGTTTGATGAATTTATTGAAAGAATTTACTTTGTGTTTTTGAAGAATTTAGTAAATCCTTTTTATTTATTGATGTTCAACTACGTATACATTCACTTCAATTTTATTTTTGTTTTTTACATTTTGCAAACATTTATAGATTAATTAATTGTACTTCTAATTAATAGTCACTAACAATGCCATTACATATTACATAACCCTATCTATTAAGATTTTTCATTGTATCTCAAATATTAATTAATACAACATTCTAAGTAATATTTTAGCATTTTCATGGCGAGCAGTTAGCCTCACAAAACAAAGGCCACGATAGCAAAGTAAGATACATTCTTCTTCAAATTTATCTTGCTTGAACTTTTCAAAAAATACTAACAAGCGCATGTCAGATACTTTAAAAATAATATATTTTTGGAGAACTTCATACGAGTTACATAGTGTTAAATAATTTTAAACCATATATATATATATATATATATATATATATATATATATATATATATATATGTATATTAAGATAACAACAGAAGTCATAAAATTACTAGTTCTCACTTCGATATTTTTCTAGCGCATTCGTCGCAAAAACTCTTACTTATTTTTGGTTGCTGCATGAGCCGCCAAAAAAAGTTTGTCACTTAAAATTTCATTTTTTCTTGTAGTTGTTAAAAGTGGAGCGAACTATTGAAAGAGGTTTAATTGAATCTCTTTAGTTGCGATATAAAATTGAGTAAATAAGATAAAATAGTTTTGTATATACACACATTGTTAAATTCCCTTAACATTTAGGAAACTTTTAGTGTTGTAGTAAAAGTGATTCAAAATTAGTTTATGCCTCAATTCAAATTTCAAGTCAAACATTTTTATTTTGAATCCTCTTGTTAGAATTAATAGAATGTCTAGTTTTGTCACTAATAGAAGTTATGCTATTTTTGTGTGCAGTACTGACAGTGGATACTACAAAGATTAGATGCAAGTTGATGCTAATTGTTGTTTAGGGAGTTCTAGTTTTGGCATTGGATATGGCGAGGTCACGGATTCGGTGCAAATGGTGGTGGAGGCGGCGGTAGAGGTGGAGGTGGTGGTGGAGGAGGAGGTAGTGATGGAGGATCTAGTTTTGGCATTGGAGATGGTGAGGGTCATCGATCGGGTGAAAACGGCGGTGGTGGTGGTCAAAATGGTGGTAGTGGTTTTGGTGCCGGAGGAGTATGGGGCCATGGTGGTGGTGGTAATTGATCCCTCCATTTGCTCAAATGACTATTTTTCATGTGTGTGCTATTTCTCCAATGGTTCTTATTTAAACATTTTTCTTGTGTCAACTCATTTATTATTAGATACATTGTCATAATGTTGACATGATGTAATCTACTCATGTCTTGACCAATTCAACTATTTATAGTAATGAATATTTTTAATATACCAATGATCAAGAACATCCATGATTCAAATGATTAAAAGTATAATTTCAAAATAGGAATCGAGGGAGATTGGGGGCTAGGCCTTACCCTAGCCTACAACAACAAAATGGATAACCAATCCATTCATCAATAAAAGGATGCACATAAAACACACAAGTATACAACGATCCTACTCCTAAACACCCAAACCTACAATACATTGACAAAAATATTGTCCTTTTTATATATTTGACTGACAATAGGTAAAAAATATTGTTGAAATTAAAAAGTTGTCAAAAAATAAAAAAATGCATTTTTTTAAAACAGTCTAATTTTAATCTCCTTCAATTATTTAAAATATAATTATAAAATTTCAAAGAAAGAAAAGTAAAAAGGTCACTCAAACAAGAATAACAAAAAAAAATTGTGAGGGCCTCTTGAAAACAGTGTTGCGATTTCAAATTTCTGCATAGTTGCCTTATTTCACATATATGAACAATTGTCTTATTTAACATTTATTCCACCTAACTTTGGGTGTGCACAAGTGGACACACTTAAACTTGTATAAAGTTTAACATGTAGATACAAGAGTCCCAGGTACCATAATATACTTAGGATACAACATAAGACACAAATCGTCTGGTAGGATGCCACATAAGACATGTATCTTTCACCTAATTCACTAATGTTAATGACTGAAATGTATCAAATAGCAATGGAAAAAATGATTCCAACAGTTAGACCTTTCTTTGATATATATTCTCTATTCCTAATTGTTGTTTTTTCGGAAAATACTGGAAATTTGTTTAACTTTATAAAAGTTTAAGTGTCTACTTGCACACATCCAGATTTGAAGGACATAAATATGAAATGAGGTCAAGTTAAAGGGTTTATTGAAAGGAAAAATCTTTCAGAGGAACTTAATTTCTTCTAATTTTGAAGAATCATACAACTCAAAGGTGACATTTTTATCTTTCTAATAAGAAAGAATTTCAAAATGTTACCTAAGGAATCATCATTTTGTTAAGGCATAATACATTAATGTGCACTTTAACATGACTTTATCTGGAATCTAAACCTTCCAACTTTGGGTGGGCACAAGTAGGTACTTAAACTTGTATAGAGTTGAACAAGTAGATACACATGTCTTACTTGGCGTTATACGTGGAAATTCACATCCAACGTGGTATCCTACATGTATTATGCCACGTACGAATGATGTGTCTACTTTTTCAGCTTCTTAAAAATTTAAAAGTGTCTACTTGTGCACACCAAAAGTTGGAGGGTATAGATGCAAACTAAAGCCAAGTTAAATGGCATATTTATATATTATGCCTTTTATTTATATAGGGATAAGGCACAAGTACCCCCCTAGACTATGATCAAAATCGCAGAGACAGACCTTAACTATACTAAGGTCCTATTACCCCCTGAACTCATTTTGTTTGTAATTTTGTACATCTTTTGGCTTATGTGGCACACCCCGTGACTCCATGCAATTGAGGCGCGTGGGAGGTATTTTGATGTCAAGTAAGCCAAAAAGGTGTACAAAATTACAAAAAAAATATGAATTCAGGGGGCTAATAGGACCTTAGTTTAGCTAAGGTGTGTCTCTGGGATTTCATCATAGTCTGGGGGGGGGGGGTACTTGTACCTTATCCCATTTTTTTAATTCTTTTTTATTTTGTTTCTATGATCCCCCCCCCACCCCAAACCACCACCTCGGTAATCTTTTTTTATATTTTTTGATTGAAAATTTTGTGTTCACTCGCTTTTATATATGTGAAACCACAGACTTTATCCGAATCAGCAAAATTAATGCCACATAAGTTAAGTAAAATTAGCATAAGAAGAAGGGTCTCCTCGAACATTCAACCTTCTACAAATGATAAATAAGTATTGACCAAATAAGTAGGGTTCTTATTTATTTTCTAGTGTGTGATCAGTGAAAAAACTATTATTCCAAGAATATTTATATATAATCTAGCAAAATACTATAGGCGGAAAGGGGTGGGGAGTGATGGTTCAAGGTGGGATAGTCAAGTGATGGGAATTGGGGAACCTTAATTAACCTAATGTCCTATTACCCTCCTCCCCCCCCCCCCCCCGAACTCATTTTTTATATAAATTTGTACACCTTTTGGCTTACGTTGCGTGGAGTCACGGAGTGTGCCACGTAAACCAAAAGGTGTACAAAGTCTTTTAAAAAATGGGTTTGGGGGGGGGGGGGGTAATAGGACCTTACTTTATTAAGATGTGTCTCTGCAATTTCAGTCATAGTCTAGGGGGTACTTGTACCTTTTCCCAATTACTATATTCACCTTAACTAGTCCATATTT